TGAGACGTAGTTCGAAGCCAAAATTTCGAGTTGGATTTTGAATTTTATGGGATTGACGACTACTGGAGGAATCGAAGACAATGGATCTGTTTGCTGCCCCGCTTAAAAAGGAATCGATTACATTTATGAGAGTAAGTAATTCTTGTTTCACAAACTAATAAGATAGAATCATATGTTTATTGTTATGTATTTTCTCTACAAATATTATATTTTATACTGGGCGACTGCAGAGCGATATATCAATTTGATTCTAGTGAATAAGCTGCCGTATTTTTGGACACTTGTGTTAGCTAAGACTTTTACTTAGTCGAATGGCTTTTTAGACCATAGTCCATCTGCCCCCTGAGTAAAATAGAATGCCATATTTTTTCATGTTTCATTATTATAATTTTAGGGATTTAAGTTCATAGCTCTTATGTTTATAGATGAGACCAGTAAGAGTGATTTTAGGCCCGGGCAACCATTTATGCTAAATATTATTGATAATTTCAGCAGCCCTATTTTGATTTCATGCAGAAAATCGGGTTTAATAGCGAAATCTTATCGATCTTATTGAAATTCCATTTGGCGTGCCTATCCTTTTTCGTTTCTAAGCCGTTTCGAGACTACCAGTAAATAAGTTATATGAGACGTTAAAAGTGATGAAGGACGGGTAGTTGAATTTTTACACATTACTATGAGTAGAGCTGATTTTTCCATTGAATTTCACATAGCTTGCTTTCCCTAAAGTTGTTCTCACGAGAACAACCTGCAATTGACTCAGATTTGTGGTAGATTTGACGACAAGTCCAGATCAGAAAAGCAACGATTTTAATAGTTAGTGATCAGGGTTCGAGTCAAAATCTGCCCATGGCGGCTGAGTATTTTATGGATCATGAGGAATTGTATACTCTCTGTCGATCATCGCAGCAATCACATTGCAATTTTAAGCTTGCTCTTTATTCAATTTTCAGATATTTTAACTCGATGCTCATTCACTTCAAACATCTTCTCTTTTACACTTCTTCAGGTTTAGAGCCGTCTGCTATACTTCACTTGAATATGCTCTCCTTGGGACAGGGCTTTTCAAACTATCCCACCTGGCTGTTGATAGCAGGTACTAATAGCGGTCGTGTGACATTGCATCCTTTTGGACAACCCCAATCATTCGATAGTAACAGATCGCAGCCTAGTGTACGTCTTCTTGAGCTGACTGGGGTTGATTGTGAACCTATTACTGGATTGGTGATAAGGCCCTCATCTCATGGCAAAATGTCTGGCCTCACTGCATGGGTGACAAGTCGAAGTGGCTGTATTCACCATTATAAGCGGCTCTGCACCGAGGCATTGTTCAACTGACTTGATGCTGTTTTGTTTTCATTTTCTTGGAACTTTCATCCTAATGATGATTACTTAGTTTCAGAATTTGGAATGCAATCCATATATTAATTTCCTTATAAAATAATTTCTCGATTTTCAAATGCTTGTGATGTAATTAGGTAATCTTCATTTTATCAAATCTTCTAAGAACCCTATATATGCTAAATCAGGATGAACCATTTTTACCTTTTAGGATGGTTGAATCTGCTAAATCTCCTAATCCCCACTATTCCGAAAAGATTATCTTTCTTCTTCATGTACTCCATAACTTACCAAGAGACATTTCATGACCAGCTACATGGTGAATAGGCTATGATTACATTTTTATTAACCTGGCTTGCCAATCTCATTCTTCATCATGAATCAGCAAGCCCATACTCTAACTTCTACCTGTACCTACCGCGCGGTTTTAATCGAACAAAAAGGGAATTTCTACTCTAGGAGTTTCCTGTTTCCAGTCCGTTGCATGCATGCCGCACCATCTGACTTGTCAAAGCGATTTTTGTCATTTACACAAATGCTTAATGCTTGATGAGACATGCCGGGCTGAACACCTGTAAACCTGAAGGCGATTTGTCTGGGTTGCATTTGTTACTATTTTTATTTTCACCTCAAGTCTATAAGAAATGTGACCTCAACAAATTTGGTTAGCTTTCTGATTGGAGTCGGCCAAAGGCATAAATGAGGTTTTACGAATCTGAAAGAATAACTGATGTGTTGTAATGCTCTGTTTTCAGCATAGTCTCCACCATATTTCCCCATGCGGATACCCATTAATCACTAATCGGAGCTAATATAGGCGCGGAGTTTTTAAGCTCTTCTTTTGGCAAGACTACCAGATATATTTGTCCTTGAGCTTGGATAGAGAATACAAAAATTTCGAATCTTCAGGTTAAAGCTTTTGAAGGAAAAGAAATCACTAGTGTTACACTTCCAAAGCAATATTACAAATTATCGTTTTTTTAATCCACGATGCCAAATTTATTACTCCTATTCTCTGGTTCTCTGTTTAAAAACTAAATGTTGTAGATCCCTATTTATTAGGTTCACTGAAAACCTCCTGCTTTGATTTCCGATAGTCTCTCGTGGACCTCTTTCTTAGAATTCGTTTTTTCC